ATTTCCACTAAGCTAAATTTAATAACGAGGAACCACAAAGATACTGTTATTTGTTTCTACTTAAATATTTTTTTAATACTACAAGTATACATTGATTTCTTATCAAGATCAGGTTTTTACAATTTTTAGGAGCAGTTGTATTAACAACAGAGGTATATTTATGAGCTTTCTAAATACAATGTACACTACATTCATATAGGTGAATTTTCGAAATTTTTGCTTGCATATTGATTTGGATTTTTAATGCCAACATTTTTTGGATAGCCTGGATCACTTGGTAAGTTAGCTGGACGTGTCTTTATTATTGTCCAACCAGATAAACGTTCCCATGTCTGCAAAAAAGAATTAATTACAATATAAAATAGTAATAGATTAAAATTTTAATTATACTGATATGATAAATGAACAGTATCAAAAACTATGAAATCTGAAACATGGATGTAGAGGAATGGACTGAAATAAAAAATTATTATTATAATATAATAGTACTGTACAGTAAACTTCAAATAAAATATAATTATTTTTACTTTTTCTACATAAAGATTTTATAAGAAAAATTATATAAAATTTAAACGTTTAATTTAGATGTCACTAAACATAAATACAACTCATTTCAAGTAATCCACTTGATTATCTCATAAACTCTAAACCAGGACACAGAATTAGTTTGCATATGACAGAGGCAGAGCATTTTCAGAGACTGCTCTGAAATATGAGAGATTTTAGAACTGGGATTGGATAATGCCACTCTGCAGCATATTTCAGAGCAATCTTCCAAAATTATATTATGTGCAAGTTAACTTTGAGCAGTGCTCTAAATTATAGTTCATTTCAAAAAGTGTTTTAAATAAACCTTATTCTGTTTCGTGGGAGATATCCTATAATGGTCGCAAACTTTTGTTGGGTAAACGCACTTTCAAGATATCAAGGTAACTTTGGCTTTTTTAATGGAACTGTATATTTTTTATTAAGCAGATAGTACATTTCAAAATCAATTTATTGATCCAAATACTTTAGTCTCTGAAGGTCGTTTAATGCTGTTTAAAGTTTACCTTTATTATTTATATTTAAAACAGCATTAAATGATCTTGAAGGATCTTCAAAGTGTTGTAGGTCAATGAAGGGACCTTCAAATGCACAAATGCAAATTTGCTACTATTGTAGAATGTTCCCTTCGAAACAGGGTGTTTTATTTAAGACATTTTTTTAAATGAACTATAGTTTAGAAGATACTTGAGTGCATTATTTCAAATGGGACACCCAGTATAGAGTGATCTGCTTAAAGTGTCACAAATAATTTTCTTTGACTCCACTCCAGATTTGATGTTTATTTTTTGTTGTTCTGTGTAATTGAAGAGTTATAATACATAAATAAGACATTTCCTTTGAAAAAATGAGGACATCTTTCTTGATCCTATGTACGATCATTATAGAAAAATTGTTGGTATCCTAAATACTTAGTCCTCTTGTGTAACTACTTAATATAGATCCAGAAATTACTGTTCGAAATGAATGATTAAACAATGCTATCCCAAATACTTAGTCCTCTTATGTAACTACTTAATATAGATCCAGAAATTTCTGTTCAAAATGAATTATTAAACAGAGTTTACATACCGCATGGTTATACTTTAGGTGATAATATATAACATAAAGTGCAATAGTACCCATTGTAAATTTTCCTATTACACGTCGCATAATAAATGCACAATCCTTACCCTACAATCAAACGAAAACATAGAAAATATCAAAGAAAATATATTTTTTAATAGAAAATAATTATAATCAATGACATTTCTATTTATAGACTATCTATTTATTTACCACAAGTGGAGTTATAGCTTTCTCGAAAACATTAAGAGGTGCTCTATAAAATCTTCTAATCGGATTATAATATTGCTTGTACATCTCAGGTGTCATTACTGGTTCCCCATGTGCAATGTGCTGACTTTTGAGGAATTTTGCTCTCCATGCTCGTTCGTCATCTGTCATACCAAGTAGACGTTCTCTTTCTCTGGCAATGCGGCCTTCAATAGATATTGGTTTTACACCGCCAGTGTCAGATTCTGTCATTTTGATCAGAGGTGTTAACTAGAAATATGAAATAATGAGTTAATACAGTAAATCCAATCCTTTTTTATGTACAGATCTGTCTTCGGTATTAAAAATAAACAGTATATATGTATACTTATATTTTATAAGTATTTTCATAGTAATTCATAAATCAATAATGTAATTTAAGTACACGCTCGAGTATAAGACAAACATACATTCAAAATATCTTACATAAATAAAGCGGTATTAAATAATACTAGTAAATAATATCTTGAGATTAAACTTACAACGATATTAATTAAAAACAACCCCTTTTTTCACGAATTACAATATTACGTCACAGGCAGTACTCGCTGTACGTTCGTACGCAGCGTTGCAAGATTTGAAGGATTTCTATTCCAGCGCCGTTGACGATAGAGAGACGAAACTCAGCTTGTGAAAACGTCACTTTACAGCGTGTCCCCAAATATGTCTCGCATTACGGGTAGCTGAGGTCAATCTAAATAACTTTTTCCACTTTCAATTTAAATAACTTTTTCTTGAAAATGCAATCTGCAGCTTTGCTTACGAATTATTAACAAAGAACACTGACCAATGAAAGGCGAGGGCGCGAATTACAACGCGGTCGATCGATCGAGTGCAACGTGCTTAGACCGTGGAGCGTGACAGATGAAGGGGGGCACCGTGCTGCGTTCGAATCAATGAACAAGTCGCGGAGCGTGAATTTTCAAATTTTTTTTACTACGTGACAGTGATAATTTTAAGAAAAACGCTATTCATCCTTATTTCAGAATGTCTGAAGAATATTTACTAATTTTTCGAATCTGAAATAATAAGTAATTTAACCGTAATGGCCGTTTTAATCTTCTAGCGTGCATGACACCTCGTGTGTAACATATGAAATTTTTAAAAGCAAAGTGTACAGTAAAGATTAACGAAGTAGGTAAATGATATTTGAATTTAAATAATTCCGTGTCCGAACACAATTCAACGAACGATTCGCAAAGCTAATTTAATAATAAATAATCGCGTTAAAGGACGTAAGAGATTTGTTTGTTAGAGAAATATGAAGAATATTATCAATGAGAAACTTAATATATGTATTTGATGATCAACTCCGTCAAGGTAAAAAATTGAGAGACCTATCCTTAAACGATATAACGAAGAAGTGTGTTTAAGGAACTAAAAAATGGTTTATTTCAGGGCTCTGTTTTAAATATTTATAATCCAGAATAAAAAAACGGAACTTCAGTGCAAAATCGAAAGATTGCACAATACAATATTATCGATACATTGTATCAGTAGTTTAATCCATAGCATTTTCTGGACAAGTTTTCCTTGTATGCCCTAAAAGTATAAATATAATTATAATATAACTATAACTAATATTATATATATGTAAATAATAATTTGAGGCATATTTAATATGCCAACATAGGATGATTTCGATAATTCTTTAGTATGTTTTAGGGGCATGTTTCTGAATTATCTTTTCTTTAAGCGTAATTAGCAAAAACCTTAGTTTTCGAGTTATTCACGAAAATAACTTATGCACCAACATTGTATCAACACGTATCTACTGTTTCTTGCAATGGCCGTGAATTAACGATGCGATAGCACTAAGATTAACACGCGGGTTTGTATATACCTATCCGGTTGTAAGGCCCGGATTGAACTATTTGGGGACGCATTGACTCCCGTGTCACCGATATACAAATTACCCGCTAAACTAATATTAGGCAATAGTATATCTACAAAAATTCTTTTTTTTTTCAAATAAAATTGTTTAGTCTGGTAAAATTCAATGCTGTACCAGTTTTGTATGTTTATAGTGGTATTTTGCAAATTTAATAAAAAANCATCCTTATTTCAGAATGTCTGAAGAATATTTACTAATTTTTCGAATCTGAAATAATAAGTAATTTAACCGTAATGGCCGTTTTAATCTTCTAGCGTGCATGACACCTCGTGTGTAACATATGAAATTTTTAAAAGCAAAGTGTACAGTAAAGATTAACGAAGTAGGTAAATGATATTTGAATTTAAATAATTCCGTGTCCGAACACAATTCAACGAACGATTCGCAAAGCTAATTTAATAATAAATAATCGCGTTAAAGGACGTAAGAGATTTGTTTGTTAGAGAAATATGAAGAATATTATCAATGAGAAACTTAATATATGTATTTGATGATCAACTCCGTCAAGGTAAAAAATTGAGAGACCTATCCTTAAACGATATAACGAAGAAGTGTGTTTAAGGAACTAAAAAATGGTTTATTTCAGGGCTCTGTTTTAAATATTTATAATCCAGAATAAAAAAACGGAACTTCAGTGCAAAATCGAAAGATTGCACAATACAATATTATCGATACATTGTATCAGTAGTTTAATCCATAGCATTTTCTGGACAAGTTTTCCTTGTATGCCCTAAAAGTATAAATATAATTATAATATAACTATAACTAATATTATATATATGTAAATAATAATTTGAGGCATATTTAATATGCCAACATAGGATGATTTCGATAATTCTTTAGTATGTTTTAGGGGCATGTTTCTGAATTATCTTTTCTTTAAGCGTAATTAGCAAAAACCTTAGTTTTCGAGTTATTCACGAAAATAACTTATGCACCAACATTGTATCAACACGTATCTACTGTTTCTTGCAATGGCCGTGAATTAACGATGCGATAGCACTAAGATTAACACGCGGGTTTGTATATACCTATCCGGTTGTAAGGCCCGGATTGAACTATTTGGGGACGCATTGACTCCCGTGTCACCGATATACAAATTACCCGCTAAACTAATATTAGGCAATAGTATATCTACAAAAATTCTTTTTTTTTTCAAATAAAATTGTTTAGTCTGGTAAAATTCAATGCTGTACCAGTTTTGTATGTTTATAGTGGTATTTTGCAAATTTAATAAAAAAGAAAACTTGGTTGAAACAGAAACAGAACCTTGGTTGTGATGTTAAATAAATAAAAATTTAATTAACTTTAATTTTAAAGTGTGCTATTTTTTTGTCCCGCACTGTAATAAAGAGCTTGGGTCTTCAGAAATATTTAATGCTAAATTGAAAAATACTTGGAATATAATTTTAAAGTGTTTCCCTACAATATAGAATAGATAATTATTTACAAGTTTACTTGTTCTATAAATCGCTTAGCGACCGTTGCAAGAAATAATAGCAGATTCGAGAGTATAGTAACAGCAGAAAGGTAGAAAATGTGCGGGACTAGGACCAAATACCGTATTTTAGAAAAAAAATTATAAGTTTTGCATAGAAACAGTAATGAAAATATTAACCTTCCATTCCGCAAACGCCGCATTTTCTCTTGCCACCGGTAGCTCGTGGTTTCCTTTGTGTATTTTCATGTCCTCTACTTCTAGACGGTTTGTTATTTCGTTCCACGAAAGAAGTATTATTATTTTGAACAGTTTCGTCTGACCATTGGAAGAATTTGCAAGATTCGTTCATTGGTTTTGGACACGAATAAAATAGTCGTCCTTTGTTGGGACCGTCTTTTTGAACAGTTCGTCTGCAATGCGTACGAAAATAGTGTAATACAAACATTGAGAATAACAGAAAAATTATATCCAAACATTTACTCACTCTTTTGCTAATTGATTACAGTGACATTTAAGACTGTTCGATCCAGAGGTATCATTTCCTCCCCATGAACTGGAAGTGCTTGGTCTAGTATTAATATTTGTAGCTGTCACGTGGCTTGTGCTTTCATTTGAATTATTTTGCATTTGTTGCGCATCGTCTGCCGCCCACAGAAAAAAATCACAACCCGTACCTTTTGGTTTGGCGCATGTATAGAATAATCTTCCTAAAACACGTATTACAAATACAATGACAAAATCACGTAATCCATCATTTCACAAATACCTGAAAAATAAAATTCTATATGATACCTTGATTCGGCCCTTCTTTCCTTACAGTTAATTGAATCGCGTTCTCATGGCAACGACACACAATATCAGAATTATTATCAGTATTACACCATTTTTTATCTTGCTCCATTCCTGGTTGTTTAAAGTTGTTGCTCGAAGAATTGAAGGGCTTTGTGTCGATCCATGTATCTTTCTTCTTCGAGTCCTGTCGTTTCTTAGAATTTCGATTATTGTCTCTTGATCTATCAGTATTGCGTTGATTAATATTGTTTTGAGATCTAACGAACCCTACAGACGTGTTATTTTCAGATAAATTTACTCTATTTTGAACCCGAGATTGTTGAGCTCCACTGTTTCTTACTGAAAGTTGATTGGTAACAACGGATGATCTTGATCCACTGAATGTACTACTGTAACCACTATCGTTTGTTGTTTGCCTAACATGCATAACGTTCTCATCTTTAATATTCATTATTTCATTAAATGAAGAATCACAGCCACCGATGCAAGTTGTGTACGTAGTACCAAAAAGTGGAAAAGCATTTCTAGTCAACTTGAATTTTAACTTACGCATATTTCCGGCGCACTAGAAATAATGAATTAATTAAAAGTTATTCATCTTGCAGAAGTACACGTTTACATACTTGTGAACAAACGTCATCCAGTACTTCGACAGATTCTACATTTGAGGGAAACCATATGACATTGTTACAAGTTGGGAATCCCATACAGCCAATATATTTTCCATTGCCTTGTTTTCTATCCTTGAGAGTCATATTTGAACTACATTTCGGACATTTGAAGATAACAATATCTTCACGTGGATTAATAATTTGTGCGTCTTGAATTCCGATTGGTTGTTCCCCGAGATAATCAGCCAAAGCACTATCAATTAAATTCGCACGTTCCAATGCTATTTTAAACACATCACGATATTTATTTATTTGACTTTGTAAGATATCGTTTGGGTTCTTTTGTTGTTCACATATTCTGTACAGAAAAGTATCATGTTAAGACTAATTTTACAAATGTTCAACATTATATATATATATAAGTAAATTACTTTAAAGAATACATACAACTTAAGATTCTTCTCTAAATCGGCTCTCAAGTGTGGTTTTGACATTTGGAATCCCATGTTGTCATATCCCATCACTAATCCGATTCCAAGTTTTCCAGGCATTAAATGTTTTCCATCTATCAAACCTACATATTGACGTGCTTTTATTGTATCTATATGTTCAGCATGTGTAGCATCTGTACCAATACCAAATTTGTCCATTAAAGTAATCAAGTCGGCTTCAGTTAATAATTGCGGCGGAGACGTTTCTTCTTGTACCATGTTAATACTGGTAGGTCTAAAAATCTGTCCTTCTTGGTATACAAGAATTTCTTTGTCGCTCCACCTTTCATATATATATACATTCAAATAATTTCGTTCAGTAATTTGTAAACCATTGGCAACAAACTTTTCGCCTGCTATATCAATTTCTACTGTTGTTTCTTGTCCTATTGCGTTCTTAGATAAACAAGCCAAAAAATGTCGGACCACGAATTCGTAAACTTTTGCTTCATTACCTGTCACAAAATGTTGACTAAAATGTCATAAAACAGTGTTATGAATTGTATAAACAATAAACTTCACCTTGTAAATCATTTTTGAATTTTATCGGATGTATGGGAGGATGGGCTTGATCACTTTTCTTCCCTTGTCGAGGATTTAATCCTTCCTGAAGTAATTGCTGTGCGAAACTACCCCAAGCAGAACTATCAGTTTGCTGATTTACTAAAGGCACAAGATTCAATTCCTTTGGAAATATATTCGTTTCTGTACGTGGATAACTAATTAAACCTTGACTGTATAATTTTTCTGCTATTTTCATAGTTTCTTTAGCACTTAAGTGAAGTTTTCTAGATCCTTGTTTCTCGAGTTCCTAAGTTTATTTAGATGCCAGATATTAATTAATGTCTTGTCACTTTTATCTCAACAAATATTTTATACTTACAACTGTGTCCAATGGTAGTGGTCTCCACTTGCTCTTAGGCTTACTTGTTACTTTTTCTACCGTGGCGTTGGGTTCTTCTAAACATGTTTCCAGCAGAATTTCGCACGGTAATTTTTCAAACAATCTCCCTCTCACCCATCTGAATTCCACTGAAATCTCATCACGAGTATCCATCACTTTTATCTTCCAATATGGCTCTGATTTGAACCTTTCTATAGCTAAATATCTTTCAACTACAAATCCTAAAGTTGGGAACTGACAACTGCCATAACTGATAAGCATATCAGCAAGATTTCTGGGAAATACTTTTTGGAGTCTCATCGTTTGAAATCTAGTAAATGCAGCACCTAGAAACATTACTATGTTTAAATGCTATGTTATAACAAACACTTACTTGCACTCTAACGAAACGTTCTTGTTATATACCTATTCTCAGGTCCAGTTCACTACGGACATCAACAGCATTGCTGACCGCTTCATCTGGCTCACACAGATTTTGTAGCGCTCTGCTTACAGATACTTGTGTGATTTCAGAAAACTTTGCTCTACGCACAGACAGATTTGTTAATACATACAATATATTAAACCAACTTGGGTGTTTATGCGATTACCTATATACACGTATATTAGCTTTAACTGCTCGACAGACTTGAATAATTTCAAACCCAATATTCTCTCCTTCACGATCACAATCTGTCCAAATAATTAATGCACTGCACTTTTTCGCTTCCCTTTCTAGAGTTTGTTTAATTTTTATGTAACTTTCTTCTATGCATTGCTTTGTGACAGGTGCATCGAATAAACTTAGAGGATGACAACCCTCCCACTTACGATATGCTCCTGTAAATGCATAATTCAACAAGTGGCCCGACACAGAAGTCATAATCATATCACAATTTTGGCCCCATACATTGGAATTGAATTCATAAATTTTATTGTAGGGAGACAACCCTTCTCTCTGTAACAGAATTGAAAAAATTCAAATATCGAATATATTTCTCTGGAATTCTTATCTATTTTAACGAATAACATTGTGATATAATTACACGTCTAGAGTTACCACGAGACAAGTAACTGGCGATATTTTTTGCAGCATCATTTTTCTCTGCAACGTTAAGGACTTTCATCGTCGTTTTAGATCCGATATATCTTGCCAGAAAAAGATACGGCATCGATTTATAAAGTTTTAACATTAGCCGTAAGTTGTAAGGTTTATAACCTTCAACTGTTCGAACACTACCATGGTTTGAAAACTTCTTCGAAGTTCCTGGTAAAAAAAGCAAGAACATTGGATAACTGCGTGACCATCAGAGGGCTAATTCTGCAAGAGTAAGATTTTCTTACTCTTTAAGTAACCCACCATTTCACTATGCATCCAATCCGCAGTGGATCCTGTTTCCAGCAATTAATCGTCAGCCAATCGGAGCGAAGAAAATTTCTATATCGACTCTCGCTAATGAATCAACCTGCGACCTGGACGTAGGCGTGCAGGAGTAGAACCCATTCCTGTACGCGATTTTAGACCAGTGTTTCAATTGTCAACAGGGTTAACATAATTTTTTGGAACGAAAATTCAATTATGTAATGCATCCTACTCCTGCACACCTCCAGGCCGCACCATGATCGTATTTGTATATTGTAATATGATTACATACCGGATCAAAGTAGTCGCGGGAAAGTTATCGACCAAGTGGTCATCTGCTGGCAAGTGTAGGAAGTAGCAGTTACAATGAATACCAGACGCGATCATCTCGAGCTTCTCCTATAAAGATAAGTTATCGCGAATTATTGAAAACCGAAGTGGCTATAACCCTCAATGAAGGTCAAGTAGAAGACATATTTATCAGAATGTTTTCCATTGTTTTTGGCGTCTCCAGTCCCTTCCCGAAGTGGGTCCCATATATTACATAGCAGCCAATTAACGTAACCTAAGTCCATTTTTTCATGTTCAAAATAAATAATCTATTAATTTAATTGATACGCTTCGGAATAATATCAGCTATATACGCTAAGTAACTGGACAAGCTAGTGCAGCCGAGCATAGAATCGTTTTGAAAGTAAAATTAATCGTGCGAAACCTATCCTTGCACATGAGTCATAAATATCTCGCAATTAGAGTGTCATAATTGAATCATAGGGTGCGCGTCAGTGTGGCGTACATGGTAAAATCAATTTCTACGTCTGACCAAACTGATGAAATAGGAAATGAAAACTAAAATATTAAATCGCTAATTTTTACCTTTGATTCTCTTTTTGGTAAGTTTTGGTAAGTTTTGATTCTTTTTGGTGTGTTTTCACATTTTCTCGCAAATCGGTTTAACCGTTCTTATTTTTCATTATCTACAGTACACGATTAGAATTAATAACTTCACGGTGTTGCGTAGGTAACGGCACTTCCGCAGCCTCGTAATCCGAAGGAAACGATGTTATTAGTTTACACGGTATGACGAATTTGATTTTCCACACACGGAATTTCCATAACCGTTATGCCAACGCGAGATAACAATGCAAATAATTAACCACCAATAAAGCATTTCCGTGCAGGTTGTGTAACGGAGTGCGTTTGACCATGCGACTTATGTACATCACGAGAAAATCGCTTCACGTGAACGTTCAAGGTTCGATTAAAATCATCCACCTTTCGCTCCAATGTAATTGATGCATGATGATGTTTCTTATGGTCCGGGATCGGATTGGCCTACAGAAATATCTTTCATGGTTCTTTTTCAAACAAAAAATCATCCTCAATTCAATATAGCTATCTATATAATCGGTAAATAACACGTTATTATATATTATAGTATAGTATAATAATTATTACTTATGATCACTATTATTGAACTAGGCGCGAGTATTATTATATATATTATTATATAATATAAATAATAAATAAATATATAAATAAATAATAATATATAAATAATATTATATAATATAAATATATTATTATATTATATATTATAATATAGTATAATAATTATTACTTATGACCACTATTATTGAATAAGGCGCGAGAATTATTACAGTTGTAAACTGAGATGTATCGTATTTTATATAACCACAAAACTGAACGTAATGTTTATTAACTTTTAAATCGTCTTTCTTTATTTAATCATCAAAACATCTATAGAGTAAAATAAGTACACAATCGATATAGATATTTTACTGACTTCTTCTAATGTTTCAGGAGAGTTATCGTTGCAACAGCTGCCGTGCATTCTCATTACTATTTCATCGGCGCTGTTCATCGCTTCTTTGTACACCGCATCCTAGAAGTAGACAAAATTAATCTAAAGAAACGGTAAAAAAATGCGATAATAATTTGAAAACGTTCATTGCTAAAATTACCTTTAAATGTCCCCAAAAATAAAAATCCAACGGATTCAAATCGGGTGACCGTGGGGGACTTGTACACCGCATCCTAGAAGTGGACAAAATTAATCTAAAGAAACGGTAAAAAAATGCGATAATAATTTGAAAATGTTCATTGCTAAAATTACCTTTAAATGTCCCCAAAAATAAAAATCCAACGGATTCAAATCGGATGACCGTGGGGGCCACGGCACAGGTCCGCCACGGCCGATCCATCTGTCTCGAAAGGTTTCGTCCAGATGGACGCGAACTTCTGTGGCGAAATGGGCGGGAGCCCCGTCCATTTGATAAAACATGTTCTGCCGGAACTCCAAAGGAATGCATTCCAAAAGCTCTGGCAGAACATGTTTTAAAAAAAATTTTATACGCTGAACAGTCCAACCTGTTAGGAAGGATGTACGGCCCAACGATAAAATTGCCACAAATTCCGGCCCATGCCATTAACCGAGAAGCGAACCTGCGCATGGTGTGACCGAAGCGGAACACCCTTCTCTTGCGAAGAGTGCTTCAGCTGTCCATAAAATGTATTTGCAGAACGATGGATTTCGCGCTACTTCTCGCAACAGCCACCTTGAATATTGAATCCGTTGATCAAAGTCAGTGTCCAGTAATTCCTGCACACGTATGAATTTGTATGGGTGCAGAGAATTGTCCTGTAGGATACGGTGCACGGTAGTACTGCTAACAGAAATAGAAAAAGAAATACATACAAATGCATAAACATTTACAGATCGAGAACATCTTTTTTTACGTAATTAAAAATCATGGTTATTTTAATTGTGACTTACCCCAAGCGGCGACTGATTCCTCGTACACTCTCGGTGCCGTCCTCCTCTATTATTGTACGTCATTTCCCGATCGGAGGGTTCGTGCAGAAAATGATCTTCCTGCTATTGAGATGCCGCGGGAATAAAAGCGTTGCGCCAATGTCCGTACGGCATATTCCGTCGGTGTATTCAAATTTGGGAATTCTTCCCGTAATCTCCTCACAGTCGCAGCGGCATTTCCTTCGCACTGCGCGAATATCCAAAATATTTAATAATTACAATTAAAAATGTGTAGGATGCACAGCGAGTACAGCCGATACTAAAACTCCATGATTACAAAATCTCTCGGGTTGTAAGACCGATTACGCTAAGCGACGGAATTGATTAGTATCGCTCTTCGTCTAATTAAAGATGAACAGCTGTTTTAATTTTGAAGAATGAATTGAAGAATGAATTGAAGCACTGTAAAGCATTCAATTCGATGGTCGAAGGTTGAAAGATTATCTGAGTAGTAGACTAGCGTGAGCAGGAGTCTACTGTAGTTGACTGAAGCTGAGTTGACTGACTAACTGAATAGTAGACTAGCGTGAGCTGGCGTCTACTGAAGTTGAAGAGTTAAGTGTAGTAGATTTGCGTGAGCTGGAGTCTACTGAAGTTGACTGAATGAGTGAGTCATAGACTAGCGTGAGCTGGAGACTACTGAAGTTGACTGAAGCTGAGTTGACTGACTAACTGAATAGTAGACTAGCGTGAGCTGGAGCTGTCTCTTATACACATCTAGATGTGTATAAGAGACAGCTCCAGCTCACGCTAGTCTACTATTCCTGTCTCTTATACACATCTAGATGTGTATAAGAGACAGCTCCAGCTCACGCTAGTCTACTATTCCTGTCTCTTATACACATCTAGATGTGTATAAGAGACAGCTCCAGCTCACGCTAGTCTACTATTCCTGTCTCTTATACACATCTAGATGTGTATAAGAGACAGGAATAGTAGACTAGCGTGAGCTGGAGACTACTGAAGTTGACTGAAGCTGAGTTGACTGACTAACTGAGTAGTAGACTAGCGTGAGCTGGAGTCTGTTGAAGTTGACTGAATGAGTGAGTCATAGACTAGCGTGAGCTGGAGACTACTGAAGTTGACTGAAGCTGAGTTGACTGACTAACTGAATAGTAGACTAGCATGAGCTGGAGTCTACTGAAGTTGAAGAGTTAGGTGTAGTAGACTAGCGTGAACTGGAGTCTGCTGAAGTTGACTGAATGAGTGAGTCATAGACTAGCGTGAGCTGGAGACTACTGAAGTTGACTGAAGCTGAGTTGACTGACTAACTGAATAGTAGACTAGCATGAGCTGGAGTCTACTGAAGTTGAAGAGTTAGGTGTAGTAGACTAGCGTGAACTGGAGTCTGCTGAAGTTGACTGAATGAGTGAGTCATAGACTAGCGTGAGCTGGAGACTACTGAAGTTGACTGAAGCTGAGTTGACTGACTAACTGATTAGTAGACTAGCATGAGCTGGAGTCTACTGAAGTTGAAGAGTTAGGTGTAGTAGACTAGCGTGAACTGGAGTCTGCTGAAGTTGACTGAATGAGTGAGTCATAGACTAGCGTGAGCTGGAGACTACTGAAGTTGACTGAAGCTGAGTTGACTGACTAACTGATTAGTAGACTAGCATGAGCTGGAGTCTACTGAAGTTGAAGAGTTAGGTGTAGTAGACTAGCGTGAACTGGAGTCTGCTGAAGTTGACTGAATGAGTGAGTCATAGACTAGCGTGAGCTGGAGACTACTGAAGTTGACTGAAGCTGAGTTGACTGACTAATTGATTAGTAGACTAGCATGAGCTGGAGTCTACTGAAGTTGAAGAGTTAGGTGTAGTAGACTAGCGTGAACTGGAGTCTGCTGAAGTTGACTGAAGGAGTGAGTCATAGACTAGCGTGAGCTGGAGACTACTGAAGTTGACTGAAGCTGAGTTGACTGACTAATTGATTAGTAGACTAGCATGAGCTGGAGTCTACGAGCTGGAGTCTACTGAAGTTGAAGAGTTAAGTGTAGTAGACTAGCGTGAGCTGGAGTCTGCTGAAGTTGACTGAAGCAGATTGACTGCGATTCAGAACTTAGTTGAAATGGACAGCGCGTGTATGAAACAGAGTCGCGGACTAGAGACCGAGCGAGAATGACTGAGTTTAACTGACACTGACTGACGAATGACCGATGACCGATGACCGACGAACGACTAAAGACTAAAACGACAAAATGACTAAGAGAAAAATCGGTTTCGAGTTTTTATACCGTTTCGTGGACAGAAGACTAGACATTGATTGGCCAGTGACGCGATGGAAGGGGATGTAAAAGTGACGTAGCAGTACGCAGTGCCGCAGGTAGCAAGAAACCCTGAACAGGCGACCGTAGCGGTGCGTGCTATCTACCCTGTTACAAAAAATGCTGCCGATGAAGGTGTGCATTATTCGAAAGTGCAGAAATGACTTTATTGCCGGAAAGAAGACGGCTCGAAAAAATCATAAACATAGAAACTGCAATGAAGAAGGCTATGGCTCTACGAAATTGAAAGCCTAACGAACGTGACCTTTAGTCGATTGCACGTCGTTCGTTGAAGGACTGTTAATTTGTCACGCCGAGCCGAAGATTCCCCGTCAATAAAATGTTTTTTAGGGATGAAAGGAAAAGGTAATTCGTCCCGGAGAAAGTTAGGCGGGCACAGCACGAGAATTCCGTTGAAGGACGGAACACGTTGTGATAACGTTGAGGGTGAAAGGGAAAGATATTACTTTTAAGCATAAAAAAGAATTAATTATCTTCTTCAAATTATGTATGATTAGATATGCATAATGTAGTTACAAAACAAGTATAGCTTCATTACAGATTCACAATTGTTGAGATAACGGTAATATTCCATTCAATATGGAATATATATATATATATATTATTCATTTGTTTTTCTATTAATACATAACATAAATGTAGATACACTTAAAATACATATATACCCGTCAAAACATTTTCCGATATATGGTGTATGATTTTGGCTGTGATCCACTGTAGAAGTTAATTTAATTATACCACGTACATTTACAACAAAAGTATTAGGATAATTTATTTGTTTTTACATCGTGTTTAAAACAAAAGTGTCCGTTTCATGCCATCTCTTCGCTATCTTTTCTTATCGCACACACACAAATACGAGCAAATGATAAAGACTATTCGTAACCAAGGCAAAGGACATTCTGTGTCCATCGTATTATTTCATAGGATGGATAATAAACGGCAACCTCGTGTAGCGGAGGTTCTATTTTCGAATAGGAAGCAAACGTTTCCTGTACAAGCACGCGAAAGAAGACGTAGGAAATGAATGGCGTAGAATAAACCCGCGATAGTTACGACCGACAGGTTGGCCCGTGCTAGCTCATTTACGCTCGTCTGTTATTCTGGTTTTCTGAGACTGGCGCCAGCTTATGGACAACGTATGACCATACGCGTAATTAAAGGTAGAAACTATAATTATATATATATATTATATTATATATATTATTTTATTAATATATTATATTATTATATATATTATTATATATTATTATTAATATATTATATTATTATATATATTATTATATATTATTATTAATATATTATATTATTATATAATAATTATAGGAAAAATAATACGTGAAAACCGTCAAGTGCAATGGATTCAGTCAGAATCGATTGTTCCACAGTGGTCTGCTCGTTAACAGATTTCTTGTTCTTGCGTGAACGTCAGTACATATTCACGACAGTCTGATCTATAACCGGTCGTTCAAATGTTTGATCGATCTTCATCGACATTGACCTTAACAACACGTGGCCGCGTATCTCGAACTGCGAAGAAAAAATCCTGGGAATCGCTCGGCTTGTATCTTGTACAGCGCCGCAGCGATCCGCATTGCATAATCCACAATTTTATACAAATTAACTTACGATAAGCGTGATCACCGTCTTGGTAATTCTTGCTTTGCAGATCCGCTATTATAGATAATCGCTTCAGAACCGACGCGACGACTCGGCGCACAAAAGTTTTGTAAGCGGTCGACGCGACGACGGAATACGCTTCGACTTGTGCGCTTAACTTTCGAGAATGTTCGGAACTACAGGTTGTCTCAAAAATGTCTCGCAATCCGGAAAGTGTTCCTCGGATCATTTGAAGCAACTTCTTCCTTTACAAAAATTTTCTGCGACACACCGTTAACGAGATATTAACGAAAAACAGCGACCAATAAGAATCGAGCACGGCTGACGCGAGGCGGCCCAGCCAAGCAGCGTGCGAAGCCCAGTTCCGCTCATTGGCTCGGTCGCCTCGCGCCAGCCGAGCTCGCCTCTCATTGGTCACTGTTTTTCGTTAATAACTCGTTAACGGTGCCTCGGAGAACATTTTTGTAAAGGAAAAAGTTGCTTCAAATGACCCGAGGAACCCGCCACTTTCTGACTTGCGAGACATTTTTGGGACACCCTGTATACTTCGCTCAACGAGAACTGGCACGAAATATAAACAGCTGCGCGCGAACGACGCGTGATCCGGCCAGGGCCGATCACAATTTCCAGATACTTCTACACGAGGCTTCTGCATGCAAGGGTCCTCGATGAGAGTCCTCTAAAATTCGTCCCCGAGCATCGTCGTCTAACAGCCACTCAGCTACAGCCGCAGCAACGATCACGTGAACGTTCAGTTTACATTTTGTGTCGGTTCTCGGTGAACATAATGTAAGAATCAGCTTATGCTCATCGATCAAGCAAATTCTGTTGGCCTCTGTTTTTTGACGAGGTTGGACTCTGACCACAGGTTCTCCGTTTTCACTTTGCCAAACGAACATTCAACGCGATTATTCAATTAACGTTTGTATACTTAACTCTTGTATACAAAATATACGCTGCGCTATGCGTGTTTCTAGATTTTACAAGGATTCAACAGAAATTCTTACAAAAGTGGATCTTATCATTTCATTTCTATTATCTTAACATTTCTATTTCTAATAATGATTTCAAAATGCTTGAATATTCGTTATTAGGCACAACTAAAAGAGCAGTTAAAGCAGAAAGAATAAAACGGAATGGAGTTATAAAATTGTTGCAGTTACATAATTATAAGGATGAGGAAATCGTCGTCGAAAATGCCGAGGAATTGCAGAGAAGCGAAGCGAAATTAAGTTCTTCATTCTACATGTTCGTACGAGATTCTTCAGCGTGCAAGTTCACGGCTCCTTGAGCGATACGGATACCTGCAAGGTCATCGAGTGTGCAACAAAGACAACAACAACAGAGATAAAACAACGTTTGTTAGACGAATGGAAACGGATTTCGCCGGATTATTTAAATAAAATCATCTGTAACATGCCCAAGCGATTACATGAAGTAATAAAACAAAAGGGGGAATCGACAAAATATTAATGTTATGATAACATGATTAAAAAGATTTTCATTTTATATAAAATTAATGCAATTCATTCACTGTCCGAATATTTTGTCACGATCTTGTTTATCGCTTATTATGCAAAAGAACGTGTGCAATAAATAAACAAAATTTATGTTTCTACTTACTTTAAGAAGTGCTTTATTATATGAGAAAACGATTTATTCAATAATACTATCATAAACAATAAAAAGGAGCAATAATTCCTTATAACAATATCGTGTCCGAATATTAATGCGTGTCACTGTATAAAAACGAGCTGCAAAGCTCGAATAATTCTACCTTCTCTTCCCAAATTGTCGATTTTTGTGTCCAATCTGAGTGTGAATTATCTACTTGGATCCCATGGGAAATATACTACTATACAACAAGGAATGGAAAACAGTCGTGAAAGAAATTAAATTCGCTGAGACCTAAATTGCACATGCATTACACTACCAATTTTGTACTTCTTCAAAGAATAACGTACGCAAACGTACGCAAAATGCAAAATAGTAACCTGCATATTGAAATATGTATATATATTAGGTCTACCGGAAAGTTCTGTCCGATAGTGTCACTTCAAGTTTCAATCCATATGCACATGTTGATTCGAGACATATATGACTATCTCTCTTTATCATTGCATTTACACACATGCACTCTCCTAAATAAACTGAAACAAAGATGTCTCGTGTCATTATTAAGCGAGACGCGATCATGAAAACATGGCTACCTATGATAATGCCAGACCACATGCTGCTTTGGCGACTCGTCGGAAAATCGCAGAGCTAGGCTGGGAAATTCTGTCGCATCCACCATACTTCTCAGACCTAGCACCCTCCGATTATCTCTTGTTTCTCTCTTTGCAAAACTTTTTACAGGAACAAAAATTCAAAACCGAAGCTGATGTCAACCAAGCACTAGTTGAGTTGTTCGCCTCTAAAAATAAATCATTTTTTAAAAATGGCAAAGTATATTCTATATATATAATATATTCTAATATCAAAAAGTATATTCTTATATTCAAATTCTATATTCTAATATTCAAAGTATATTCTAATATATATATGAAAGTATATTCTACAATAAATATTATTAAATGTATGAAAATTGTGTTATATTTCAATTAATATTAATATAATATATTAATTAATATAATATTATTCTTTAACTTGAGTATTTAGTTTTCTCAAGATATTGGATCTCTGAAAGCACAAATTTCATTAAAAAGCGTAATATAATAAAGAAACTGTATCCTGTGCATATATTACTGCGGTCATGTATCTATTACTGTGAGTCAAATACTGCGGACGTTCTGATTACTGCGTGTCAAGGTTGACACACAAACCATTTTCTTTTAAATGTACACACGCTGGCAAGAAGTCACAAGTAACGATGGAAAGTATATTCTACGATAAATATTATTAAATTTATGAAAATTGTGTTCTATTTCAATTCAAAAACGGACAGAACTTTCCGGTAGACCTAATACTTGCATAAAAAGACGCAGTCTATCTATCGCAAAAACAAGTTAGTTACAAATTAATGTTGGAAAGAAATAAAAGTTAAAATTCATTTGACATGTAATATCGCTGAAACTAGATACCAGACATCTACGTGTTATCAACGGCGTGGGTTTAGTCACCTTTGTTCCCTTCCCCATTCCAGGATCGACGATAGCGATAGATCACACACAAAGAATGAAACAACTATTTCGAGGTCATGGTCGGAGTGGCACAGCGCGGAAAATGTGTGCCGCCATCGATTGTCTTCGACGTTGTTGTAATGTACGTAGGAACGTCGTACGCGGGACGATATAAACCATCGTGTCCAATGACGCTGATAAGCCGGATAGAAATATCGATCACAGTTGGTACCGCGTGTAATTATGCAGACTATTCGGTTCGCGGGTTTCGGTACCATCACGTATCAGTTTCCAACTATTCGAGCGGCCCGCCATTGTTACCGACGCTATCACGTTGGTTCGCAATGGCAAAACTGCTAACTGAATTTCGTACTAATTTGCCTCCTTGAAAGACGGCCGTTAATTATCGAGCACTGAGATTGCGGCATTTACCAACGTACAGTCGCTTCTACACGCTAAGGCAGAGTAAAACTCTAGAGCGATCTATCTCTTTTGAACATTATTTAATGTTCGATGCAAATCTGATTCGCGTTTCCGCGTTTTATAATTTATTTTATTTTATTTACTATTATATATAATTATATTTATATTATATTATATTATATTATATTATATTATATTATATTATATTATATTATATTATATTATATTATATTATACTATATTATACTATATTATATTATATTATATTATACTATATTATATTTTATTTACCATTTATATACCATCCACAGTTACTAGAATACTTGGTAGCACTTTCGAAAATGAAATAACTTCTCAAAAATTGTACCATGTGTCTTGAGCTTTTTTGAGATGTTTGAGGGACTAAACAAGATTTGTTGACTAATACGATAATTTAATGATTTGTCATTGATTTGATTTAATGATAATGTCATTGCAAATTTCAATAGATACGCACATATTCATTTGAGACATATATTTTTGAAAAATGTTGCTCACAAATTGCCATCACGTTGGCAAAAGGTTATAAGCAACAGAAATTATATCGTACAATAAATATTACTAAATTTACGAAAAATCTATTATTTCCTTTGATTTCTTAAACGGACAGAACTTTCCGGTAGACCTAATCAATTTCAATCGTCACTCGCTTTTCTCATTCATCGTTCGATCATTCGCTACACGGAATTTGAATGTTCTCAAATCATTCTGTTGTTATACAATTGAGCCGTTTATTTTGAAAGTGGCATAAGTCACTTTATCGTAACGAAAAGTGGTGATTTTTCAATGTTTATACGAAATTATTTATACCGAGAAAAATATCAGTATTCTGAGATAACAGATACAAGTAAATCTTCTCGAAAGTTAGCTTAAAGTTTAATGTTGTAACGAAATTATTTATACTGAGAAAAATATCAGTATCCTGAGATAACAAATACAAGTAAATCTTCTCGAAAGTTAGCATCCATATTTTTAAACGTGTTAAAACACAAACCCTTAAATATATATATTATATTATAAATATATTATATATATATATATTTATGATATTATATAATATATCGTTATAATATATATATATATAATATAATATATATAATAATATATATGTATATATAATATATTATATTATAAATATATCGACTGAAAAACAAAGTGACTTACGCCACCTTCAAAATAAACGTCTCAATTATACAGTTGGGCAGCTTGGATCAATCTCCGTTTCCCATCTCGCGCATTCTCGGCAGAAGAGGATTTCACCTGTTCCCCCGTGGCCAGTTCCAACGTCTTATCCGTTCACCGCCATCGAATTCCGCGCGAGGCTGCTTCAAGGAAGCCGCAAAACCCAGCTCGCCGGCAGACGGTGCAACATTCCAGGCCGCCTGGACGACGTTCCCGCGTATCCGGAGCAGAAAGGGTGCATCGAAACAATGTCCCCGGGGATATACACCTGATTCCCCATGCCGGGGACGACCGAAGGAAGAATGTTTCCTACCGAACGGTCGGCCAGGTGGAAGGAGATGGAAGGTGGAATTACCGATGACGAGTCACGATCGAGAGCTCTCGTACGTTCTGCCAGGGGGTGGGGGCAACTGGTACGTATCCTGGTAACATTGGACCCCCACTTGCGACTGANATACAAGTAAATCTTCTCGAAAGTTAGCATCCATATTTTTAAACGTGTTAAAACACAAACCCTTAAATATATATATTATATTATAAATATATTATATATATATATATTTATGATATTATATAATATATCGTTATAATATATATATATATAATATAATATATATAATAATATATATGTATATATAATATATTATATTATAAATATATCGACTGAAAAACAAAGTGACTTACGCCACCTTCAAAATAAACGTCTCAATTATACAGTTGGGCAGCTTGGATCAATCTCCGTTTCCCATCTCGCGCATTCTCGGCAGAAGAGGATTTCACCTGTTCCCCCGTGGCCAGTTCCAACGTCTTATCCGTTCACCGCCATCGAATTCCGCGCGAGGCTGCTTCAAGGAAGCCGCAAAACCCAGCTCGCCGGCAGACGGTGCAACATTCCAGGCCGCCTGGACGACGTTCCCGCGTATCCGGAGCAGAAAGGGTGCATCGAAACAATGTCCCCGGGGATATACACCTGATTCCCCATGCCGGGGACGACCGAAGGAAGAATGTTTCCTACCGAACGGTCGGCCAGGTGGAAGGAGATGGAAGGTGGAATTACCGATGACGAGTCACGATCGAGAGCTCTCGTACGTTCTGCCAGGGGGTGGGGGCAACTGGTACGTATCCTGGTAACATTGGACCCCCACTTGCGACTGATAAAGACTCGGAGGCACATACGGTGACGCTAAATAGACACGGACATTGCGGGCACCCACACACACACCGTCAACGGATTCTTCCGAGTCCGATGCCGACACTCTCTGATCGACGACACCAACTCCGATTTCGCCTCGAACCGACTCCTCCCGACACCGATCCATCGACGATTCCAATTTCGACACTGTGTCACACACCGTCAACGATTCCGACTCCGCTGCCACACCGACACCGACACTAACACACACATCGGCACCGAGCCACACCGACAACGACACACCGACACCGACAACGCCACCGACACCGGCAACGTCAACGACAAAACGCCGACCGGCGGCGACCATCGTCCGTTCGAACGTCTGCAGTTGCAGTCAGTCACGGTGCTTACGCTCGAGCACGCGACAGCCTGTTCGCGGGGGATTCCCAGAGAGAGAGTCTCCCTTGTGGACGCGGATCGGTCCCGCGTTATCGTTTCTCTATCGTGTGTGTGTCCCTGGTGCGAGGCGCACACGTCGGGCCCAGTGAGTCACAGACACCTCTCGCAGCGAGCGTTTATATTCCACGGGAGATTATTATTACACGCTTCCTCTCGACAGGAGAGAACCTAGAGAGAGCATATTCGTGTGGACTAGGTGTTGCGCGCTCGCGAGTTTCTCTCCGCACTTTTACAAGTGATATACGGAACAGTGTGAGAGGCGTTCGTGGGATAAGGATATGGTGACAGTGAGTAAATCGCTCGTGATCCTTGTAAACGTCGTTCGCGAAAAACAAATCCGACGGAGGCTCAACCGAGAATCGTTTTCGTGTAGCGCTCGTGGGACCGCCGCTTTCGTGCTTATTCTCCGCGCATTGTCAGGCGAAGCACAGAATAATTTAAAGGGAAAGCGATAGTCCAAACGCGCAACGTTCTGTCTGACTTTCGAAATATTCGCAAGTTTTTGCCGTTTTATTTGCGCGGCCGTTGCGGGAAATCGCGGCATCTCGATCTCTGGCGGTCGATCGATCGATCGAGTCGGTCGATCTTCGAGAGTGCTCTCGATCGCATGGCGGTGCCGCCGCCTCTCAGCATTGAACGCGTTTCGATCTTTTGGTAGATCGGTGAATCACCTGGCTCCGATTCCGTTACTCGCGTTCGAGGAAAGTTCAAGGGAATACGTGTGTACGGCCGCTTTCTTAAATCGTTCTTTTTAGCGCTATCGCGCGCTGACCGGTGTATATGGTAATTACCGTGACACATATTCGTTGGAACGGTTGTTACTTCACGCTCGGGCAATTTTTGACAGATCGGGAATATAATTGAGCAGGTGCGCGATCTCGCGCGGTCGACGAGACTTCGCGTACCTATTGCCTTTCAACGGGGACAATTTCCACGATTCCGTCAAATTTTTTTACTATCGCTTTCAATTGTTGGCTACGTTCTTCTGACTGACGATCGTTGATTAGAGTCGTTAATGGTAACGTTGCAATAATCGGTGATTTTATAGGCTACGAGTTTAATACTTCCTGGGATACACAATTTCGTACAACGAGAAGTAACTTGTAATTGAAAATCTTGTTACGGTTACGAAGATTAATTAATTTATTATTAATTAATTAATTTCATGGGTGAAAATTTTCTAAAAAGCAAAAAAGAAATCTCCGATTATCTGCGTGTATCTGCGATCAAATACGAAAAAATGAATTTCACTTCGATCTGACAGAAAAGGATATAAATGGCTATAAATGAACATATGAAAAACACAAAGTTATTAAAATTATTCCACGGTCGAGCGGTCCAAGAAGATGATATTAAGATTTATAGAAATTTTGTTAATTTTATTAAATTTATTTATTCCTAAGCAATCACGAAGATATCGTCGTTATCCAGAATTTGCCTAACTTTCACTCTAATAATCATATTAATGTTCATAAAAAATTTCGTACAACGAAAAGTAACTTGTTATCTTGTAATTGAAAATTTTGTTACGGTTACGAAGATTAAAGTTGCTTCATGGGTGAAAATTTTCTAAAAAACAAAAAGAATCTCCGATTATCTGCTGGTATCTGCGTTTACTCTGACGATCAAATACGAAAAAATGAATTTCACTTCGATCTAACAAAAACGAACGACCTAAATGGACATAAAAGGAAATAAATGGCTATAAATGAACATATGAAAAACACAAAGTTATTAAAATTACTTTACAGTCGAACGGTCCAAGAGGATGATATTAAGATTTATAGAAATTTTGTTAATTTTATTAAATTTATTTATTCCTAAGCAATCACGAAGATATCGTCGTTATCCAGAATTTGCCTAACTTTCACTCTAATAATCATATTAATGTTCATAAAAAATTTCGTACAACGAAAAGTAACTTGTTATCTTGTAATTGAAAATTTTGTTACGGTTACGAAGATTAAAGTTGCTTCATGGGTGAAAATTTTCTAAAAAACAAAAAGAATCTCCGATTATCTGCTGGTATCTGCGTTTACTCTGACGATCAAATACGAAAAAATGAATTTCACTTCGATCTAACAAAAACGAACGACCTAAATGGACATAAAAGGAAATAAATGGCTATAAATGAACATATGAAAAACACAAAGTTATTAAAATTACTTTACAGTCGAACGGTCCAAGAGGATGATATTAAGATTTATAGAAATTTTGTTAATTTTATTAAATTTATTTATTCCTAAGCAATCACGAAGATATCGTCGTTATCCAGAATTTGCCTAACTTTCACTAATAATCATATTAATGTTCACAAAAAATTGTCACCCTTTACGCAAGATATTTAATAAATATTTACAAGATTGTATCACCTTCTCATCTCTATGATTTTTTGATCACCACTTTTCATTACGGTAAAGTGACTGATGCCACTTTCAAAATAAACGGCTCGTATAACGATAAAAATGATTTTTACTCAGCTGGAGTTACGTTTTGGACATTTGCGCGACGATGAACTTCTCGTGAATTTTTGACGGAACAACAAAGCCACGGTTATCTTAGAAACAACTGAATATTACTATTATGAATCAGCATCGCGTTGCAATAGCCGAACCACGTCATAAATTGGCGAACGGACCTGGTCACCGGGTAGCCTAATAAAAGTTTCTTAGCCACCTTCGCCACCTTACACCGGTTTCTCTCGACACCGTTCCCTTCCACACGCAATCCAAGAAGGTCAAGTACTTTTAGACGATCCTTCCGTTATTGATGTATCGTGGCAGTTTCTTATTTGCACTCGCCCCACTCCCTTCCCCGCTCCCCACCACCTCGATCCAATCACGTTCCATTCCTAATCGAAGACTCCTCTCAATAGAATCATCTTTCGTTGTTCGCTATAGAGGAACGAAACCGAGCGCATGGAGTGCAGCTTTTCGGATCGCCGCGGCCTGACAGCAGAAACCGATCGGGACGCATCGAGCAAAGAATAAACGGAACGACCAGAGAGAGCTGCCGGCGACGAATATACTCGAGATAAACTGTGACTTCGATCGAAGTGTAGAAAAGAATTTGTGAGAGAAAGAACACAAGATACAGGCAAATTCGTCGTCATTCAACGATCCGAACAGAAGTGCAGGGTGGAGGATGTGAAATCGTTGTTGTTGCGACCGAGGTACGTTTACGCGTTCGTCGTGAAACGGTGACACGGAGGGGGGGGGATTTTACATGCGTCATCGTTGTGCGGATACAAATCGTACGCGACGAATCGTTTCGGCAGCAGTACACGTGCGTAACGACAAGCTCGATTGGTCCTGCGGAACACGAGGCTTCGATCCCCCATCCAAGGACGCTCGGTAATAAATGCGGTACCGGAGATGACGTCGTACGTGTTCTCCAAAATGGCTCTCCGAAATACTCGGCTGCTTCTGTTCTTGGCGTGCCTTGCCGCCCCGTCCTACGGTAAGTGAACCACCTGTGGTACTTTTTCTTAAATTTGAGAAAATTTTGGTTCGATCTTTCGACGTTTATTCGCCGTGGCCATCTAAGATTCGATAGTATCTCTTACCTTTTTTCACTAGAATTTCTCTTAAACGAAAAAGCCTTGCATAAACTTCTTGCGATAACTACTCAAATATAAATAATTACCAGTCAATAATTACTAATAATACGATTACAGATACATACGATTAAAATAATTACTAGCCACGCCCTTTGGTCAAGGTCCTACGCAAGGTATTGAGTTGGCAACTAAGTAATTGCCGATTTGTTCAATGAAATAAAAATTTTTTTTTTACTTGGAACGAAGTTTAATCTGTAATGTATCTTCCATTTTGTTCGATGACCTTTTGCCATCTCTCTGACAACTTGAAAATTCCACGCTCGTAGAAAGTCTGATCCTTTTCGGCCAAAAACTGAGTTAAGTGAGATTTTACAGCGTCATCGTCGTTAAAAGTTTTACCACGAAGGGAGTTGTCCAGGGATCGAAATAAGTGGTGATCCGATGGCGCGAGATCAG